CACCGCTAAAATGGTGTAAGGGAGCATCATTCTCCTCTAAAGTCCATGGCTTGCCCCAGACTCTTCCAGGTCCCTTATAGAGGAAACTGGTCTTCCAGGACCAGTCCGGTTCCTCTGTTGCTTTCTGCCCCTGCTAAAAGTGACTAACCTTTGGCGGTTTAATGGTAAAAACCCACTAAAGAAGGCCAAAAAGTTAAAGTCCTAACATCCCTTGGCAAAATGCACCAGTCCGGTTCCATGTCCGTGGGGTAAAACCTCCTGACCTCAACCCGATTCCATCTGTGGCATCCCGCTGTTGTACGGCGAGTCAGTCGCCACGGAGTTGATCAGCTGCGACACCAGGTGGTAGTCCTGGGACTTTTGGTTCGCAAGGAAACCGCGCGGGACAAAAAACAACATGAGGGAAGGAAAGAAAAGGGACCAAAGGAAATGAAGGAAAAACATGAAGGAAAGAAATGAAGGAAGGAAACTGGGCTGTCCGTTTCAGATCCCCCGCGAAAAGCTTAACTTTTATTGGGTTAAATGGACATCTTCATTAAATATTACAAGGCTAAAAAGCTAAGGGGATGGCTGGGAGGCACCAAGGACGGGGATTTCCAAGTCGGGAGTCAACTTGGAAATCTGACCCATGCCTGGGGGATTTGCCGGAAAGGAGAAACGACATCTAGGCCGGAACAAGACGAGCAAATATCCTCAGGTGTGGGAGGCTCTTACATATGTGGCTCTGCATGTCTATAGCGTCCGCGCTCTTTTTCGGGAGTGGACGATCAAAAGCGATTGAGCAGTGCCTGTGCCCAAGACAAGTTGACTTTGGGTTCTACCAAAACCGTTTTACATGTTTGCACAGTCCCCGAGTTCCTCTGGGCAGTGGGTTGGATGGTCTGATCATATATCCGTTTGCGCTGGTGCGGCAAAGAGGCGCGGTGCAAGAAGAAGAGAAGCATCAGGTACAGCGCAGATCCTCAGCGCGGTCTCTGTAGCGCCGAACTGGGCTCTGCACATTGGCGTCGGTTGAGGCTGGGTCGAGGGCGGGCTTCGGGCAGGCTTCAAGACACTACCGGACAAAGGTTTCCGGTGGGTTTGGGGTAGCTTTGGCGCAGGTTTAGGGTTCGTTTAGGTTGTTTCAACATCCTCAGCATTGTTCTAACATCCTCATTCAACGCCCTCACACGAAGCCCGCCTAAACACAACCACAGCCGAAGCCAACTTTAAACACACCCTAAAGCAGCCCTAAACCCACCCCAGACCAACCCCAAGAAGCCCCACCATAAACCAGCACTAAACCATCTACCTCAAGCGCAGCCACCGAACCTGGGACCCACCCTAAATCCAGCTTAAACCAAAGCCTGGTGATGCTGAGGATGTTGAAAACGTTTCTGAGGACGTTAAAACGCAGCCAGCCAACCAACCAACCAACCAACCAACCAACCACCCAACCAACCAACCAACCAACCAACCAGGCCTGCCAGGGTTAGCCCTGTGCCAGGGCTAGGCCAAAAAACAAACACCCCTTCCTAAAGTACAAATGGCACGTATTTGCACATGTCCCAAGAAATGAGTAGGCCCTAACCTAGTTGGAGTCAATGTGCTAGCTGATTGCAACTCATTACAACCCAACAAGATGAAGAAATTATGTTGGCATTCCAGGTTTGATCTGGGGAGGAATTTGCATAGTGGGCGGTAGTCCTTGCCAGGCCTTCCTTTTGCTACTCGTGTCACTGGTTGCAACTGGATGGCCGCATGCCACATAGCCAATACTGGCCTCATTGTGTTACCATGATCAAAGTCACCCTCGTTCAGTGGTGGGTTAAAGGGAAACAACCGCATTTTCTGGCTTGGATAACCCGCAGAAACCGTCAAAAAATAACGACCCCAGCAATACGGGTGCTTCTTGTTTCAGAAGGGGGTGGTACGCCCATCTTGCACTTGGATTGCAGTGAAATCACGCACCAAACTACTTGGCAGGCTCCACCTCCCACTTTTCCCCGCAAAAAGCGCCTCCAAGCTGGAATTGGAGGAGTTTTCAGAGGCCGCCAAATGAAGAAGTCCTAGCTATCTCTGAAACTCGGCTTGGAAGTAAAGCCAAGCCCGTCAGGCGTCCAAATATTGGGAGTTGATTTGATTGGATCGACCAAACAGCACAACGCGGCAAACCCAGACGAGTGCATTTCCCAAACAGAGCGCCGGACAAGCTTGGTGGCGGAAAAAGTACATTTCCCAACGGAGAACTGGTTGACATACACTGAGTTGCGGCGCTTGTCTTTTGCCTTCAACTGAGTAATTAGTCTTTGGAGATTGCCATGGATCCGTGCCCCAGAACAACCCGGGTGAAGATGGTACCGGAAGCAATGACATCTGGAAACTGCGCGACTGCCTTCCGTGGCCCCTTCTCACTCGCCCTGGTCGCAGCGCACCGGGGCGAGCGAAAAGGCCGACCATAGGCCACTGAACGTCAAAACTGGTCGAAGCCAGTTAGAAGTTTAGCTGGCCATTGACCCCGTGCAGCCTTGTTCTCATTTGGGCTCTGGTGCGCCCCTCAAGCCTATGAAGCCATTCCACCTCGCAGTTGGTTTGATCCTGCATAACTAGATCCTTCAGTAGGCTACCAACTTTTTTCTGTAGTCTATTCTAGTAGGGGACCCTCCCCCAAAAAAGAAACGGTAAACCACATGGTTTAAGAGAGCAGCCGCCCTGCGAACCCGAGACCCGCTGGTACTGTGGATGGACGAAATCCATTTCGCACCACCTGAGAAGCCCTGGGATGGTCTGATTCCCTGTAAATACCAACAGTTACAGTGGTTTCAACCATGGTTTCTGAGGCGGTGCGAAACGGATTTCACAACCATCCACACTCACGTAGATCCAAGCGGCCGGTGGTCGGCGGCTGCAAGAAGGAGGCAGACACGTGGACTGGATACCTCGGAGCAAGGTGGAAAATGATGTCTAGAGCAAATCAGAGAGTATGTGCATCTCAATACGCACGCAGAGTTGAAGAAATATGGTACATGTATATAGATATATGGTACACACATATACATAATATATATATATATATATACATATATTGTGTGTGTGTGCGTGCCAAGGCATTGATTGAGTTGACAGGCCCATATCGTGTCGTGGTGCACTATGACGATTGACAACTAAGCGTTGATTGATGGCATGAAGTATGATGATGACGATGACGCAGACGACGCCGATGATGGCAATGACGATGAGGGTGCGGCTGAGGATGAGGAGGACGATGATGAGGAAGAAAGGATGATGATGAGGAAACAGATGATGATGAGGATGATGATGGTGAGGAGGATGATGATGATGGTGGTGGTGAGGAGAAGGAGGTGGAGGAGGCTGCTGAGGATGACGGTGATGAAAATGATGATGTTTCTTCGCATTGCGATGGGGAGGATGAGAATGAGAATGAGGATGAGGATGAGGATGAGGATGAGGATGAGGGCGACGATGGCAACGGCGATGTCGATTGCGACGGCGACGGCCATGGCAAAGACAACTACGACAAAAACGACGATGATGACGATGATCACTTTGCCCTACATTTACTCTTCACACACCACCCGAAGGAAGCTGACTCATACGTCCCCCCCCTTTTCTGGCACACCCATTTCTTGCGCCAGTTGCTTCCCTCTCAGACCCTGGCAGGAAGTGCTTCGTGGCACCAGCGCTCCACACCTCGCGATCGGCTCCGGGCTCCGAGCCGCGCATTGGTCGGAACGGCCCTTGCCGAGTGGTTCTGTGGTTGTAGCCCGGTGGGGGCACAATGGGGTTTTCCCATTCAATGGGGGGAGCCAGTCGTAAAAAGGCCACACCTTGCTCTTGGTTTCCCTTGATATACCATCCAAACGGGGTCCGCATTTTAGGACACACCAACACATGCGGCGTCGGGAGTACTTTGCCTAAAAACTCCCAACAGAAGGGCATGGTCTTCGAAACAACAAGCGGAGAAAAGGCCCAAGTTCCGCTCGACCGGATCCCATGACTGTGACCACAGTGCCTGGTGCCCTCGCTCCAGCACCAGTTCAGTGCTGAAGGGGTTCCTCGGACAGCGCGAGAGGTGATCTAACTTGGGCCAACAAATCTCTCCACATAGGGGAACCCACAAAATGGCAACGGTGTCCTTTGAGCTTCCCTTCAAACCAGCAACAAAAAACACGAGTCCCCAAATCTCAAGGTCCGTCGCGATGGTCCTTCTCTTGGCTTCTTCCCTACGGGGGCTGTGGCCCACACCATGTCTCAAAGTAGGGGGCCCGGGAGAAGGTGGCTTTCCCTTTGGCTTCCCTTTAAAAGCAACCCCAAATCGAAACAAATGACAGGCCCTGAATTTTCTCTTGCGCCCAGGTGCGAATAAATCAAGATCCGGTGCGGGCACACGTTGGGCACCTCGGACGATTGGGTCCGGTTGCACCAGGGAGCCAACGCTTCCCACCCAAACATTGCGCTGGAAAATCTTAAGTGGCCATGAGCGTTCTTAATCGTTCCACGAAAAAGGACATCATAGACCTGGCCCGCTGAGTGCGGACATCTTGATTTTGCTCTTGAGGGGGGCCTCGTCGCACCGGGGGTCCGTCTTGCCTGAAGCACTCGTTTCCCGCACCCATCAGGAGGGCACTCTCTGCGAATCCAACCACTCAACACTAAAAATCTAAAACGCCAAGGAACCGGATGGCTGGGCCAAGTCAAGCAGGGCTAAAGCCTTGCACCATGCGGAATCCGACTCTGAGCCGCGCGCGCAGGTGAACAACTCCTGGTCGGGTGAGTCGCCCCCCGCTGTGACAACGTTGGGGTAACGTCGCAACCCAAGTCGCATTGGCAAGGCCGGGTCTTCGGGACTTCGGCAAGAGGCCGAAGCGCATCACAGGAAGCCCGGTGCCCAATTCAGAGCCGCAAAGGGTCAAGCGAAGAGCTGTCATAATCATGTTGCGCCCCTTGCACCTGGGCTCCAAAGCAGGGCAGAAAATGTGGCCCCAAGAAAAGCCAAAGGTTCAGAGCCTCAGAGCATCCCTGTCCTCGTCCTCACTCTGCAGCAGCAGCGCATGCGGCAAGGCCTTCGCAGTAGGAAGCACATTGACCGAAGCCAAAGCGAGTTCAAGGCGCACGGCACAGAAATGGTCAATCCATAGTTCCTTCTCGGGAACCGAAAACTATGCACAGGGGAGGGGGGAAGCTTTGGTACCCCAAAAAGCCAGCATTCAGATTCCCCTGAACAATTGCCAAGCATGCCCTCCTGCAAACCAACATAGAAGTGGCGAGGTGTCCTTCCATGTCAGTTCTGAAAGGAATAAGCAGCGATGCAAGGAGGCGAGCTACTGCGAGCTCTCTATTCCGCTTTACCTCTACATCCTTTGCGGCCGTTGCTGACCTTACCCTTTCCGCTATCCTTGCAGGTGACAAGCGTGAACACAAATTCTGTTTACTCGAACTCACTCGCTGACTCCTTTGCCCCGCTCTTTGGCTCCCACGCGGAAACCATCAAGTTGCGGTTGTCTGATTCCTTTAGGTGTCTTCTTTTGCGAGGGTACCGAACGCTGTGGGGTAGTTTGAAAGATTGAAAGGGAAACCGCCCACCAAAGTGTCTCTTTTTTGGCAACCACTGCCTTTCCCCTTCCTTTTGAATGACACTGTGGATGGACGAAATCCTGCACCACCTAAGAACCCTGGAATGATGATTTCCCTGTAAATAACAAGCAATGGTTTCTCGTGCTGAAAAGAAAACCACCCGTGCTGAATCCTGTAGGAAACCAACAAGTTTCACTTCTTCATTTGGGTGTCTCTTTTTGGACCCATTTCGGAGTTCCTGGTCCTTTGCGCGAAATAAGCAAGCCAACCAAGCCAACCAACCAACCAACCAACCAACCAACCAACGAACCAACCAACCAACCAACCAACCAACCAACCAACCAACCAACAAACCAAGCAAGCAAGCAAGCAACCAACCAACCAACCAACCAAGCAAGCAAGCAAACGAACAAACAACCACACCATCCGCCTGCAGCAGCTGCATCGCCTGCGCCCGCGCCCCGAAAGGCGGGCGTGTCGGCAGGAAGAGCCTCGCGGCGTCAGCTGGCTCGCCGAATCGCGACTTGCAAACAGAAACAGGGATCCTTACATGAAAAACACCTAGAACATTGCAACTTGTAAATGGTGGTTTCCCTTTGGTTGCAACATGTACCTTTTAAGGAGCCTGAGAAAGGTGTCCCTAAAACCCATCCGTGAGCCCAGGAGATGCCTACAGACCTTCACCATCCGTTTATACTTCAGTTGCTCAGTGACCCTCTGGTACTTGGCTGCGCGAAAGATCGAAACAGAGTGTCACATGGTAGTAAAGTTAACATGAAGCATGAATTGAGACCAAATCTTGCTTGGCAAGCCGGCAAGTAGGCAAGTACATCTCCAAGAAACTCTTTGTGGTCGCCTCCCACAAATGCACGCGGATGCAGACCCATGGCGACTCCTTCCCTCTTGCATCTATTCCCTCTCATTCAGATTCATTCAGCCGCATAGACTTTGCCTGCAATGTGCGATAGGCCCGCTGTCACTCAGGCACAAACCAATGCAGGTTGGTGCCAAGTTCAAGTCCAAAAAATACCAACCCGAAAGTCCAAGTCGCTGGGAGTGATCCACCGAGTACAAGCGCTGCTCACCTGAACGGAGATCAGAAACGAGGACCACGTTTGCCGCTGCACCCACAAGTACCACCAGAAAATCCAATGGCCAAGCTGAGGCTGACAAGAACAACGATCACAATAGCAATAGCACAGGCTTCAAGCATTCCACTAGACTCATCATCGTCTGATTTAGATGACAGAAACAAGCATGCAAGGGCAGCAAAATAGTCCTACTCCAGCATGCACCACTCTCAACACGTTTATGGAAAAACTCTCTTTCTGCACTACCAAAGTGGCCGATGTCCATCAGTATTTTGTCACTGGTTGTATGTGATTGGTATCACAGAAAGGTGGCCCTAAAACCCATCCGTGAGCCCAGGAGATGCCTACAGACCTTCGCGAGCCTTCAGCTTATGCTTCAGCCCAGTGACCCTGGCAGCAATTAGAATAGAACCCTTTGGTGGGTCCGTCACTTGGGAAACAAAAAATGGACTCAGAGGATAGCACCGAACTGTGGAAATGCAGGGACGCCATTGCGGGGGTCTACATTTTTGGTCGAAACTTGTAGTGGGTGTGTCTCAAAACAAGGCGCCCCCAAAATGGATGGGTGTTTGCTGCAGTCTATTTTAGTAGGGGAACCCCTTCCCAAAAAAAGGGTAAAAGGGCACTACTAAGGAAACCTAACTTCAAATCCACCCTCAAAAAACACAACACCCCTGGCTTGTCTGCTTGCCGGGCCGCCCTTCGGCCCGCGGCGCACGTCCCAGGACAGCTGCAGCCGGGGCATCTCCACGCGCTCCACTCGCAGACAGCTCTCCCCCGCCTCTAGGGTTCCGGGCTCTACGAAGATGGAAGGCTATGTGAATCTACGGGGGTATGTTTTTTGGGTGCGGATCTATTTTGGGATGTTTTTTCGTGTTTTTTTTTTGGGGGGGTGTTTTTTTTTTTTTTTCGTCCGGGCCAGCAAAATGTCGTATTTTACAGCATTTTCTCGCGAAATTGACGCATTTTACACTAGCTCGTCAACATCCCCAGCATCGTTTTCAACATCCCCCGCATGTCCGACCAACATCCCTAGCATCACCAACAAATCGTGGGTAACAAAATCCAAAAATGTAGCTGGCGGGTTGACGGGGTCAAAACAATGATGCTTCAAACAGGAGGGCATTTCAATCCCAGCAACAAAGATACAAAAAAAACAATTAAGACAAACAGAGCGGGGTAGTGATGATTCGAACAGGGGTGCAATTAAATCTCTGCAAAAAGTCTAAAAAGCAGCGGGGGGGTTGCGGGGGGCGGCAGCCCCCCCATGATGTTCGAAGAATTGATGATTCAACTAGGGGTGCAATTAATTAAATCTCTGTAGAAAGTCTAAAAAGTAGCGGGGGGGTTGGGGGGGGCGGCAGCCCCCCCCCATGATGGTTGAAGAATTGATGATTCAACTAGGGGTGCAACCCCCCCATGATGTTCGAAGAATTGATGATTCAACTAGGGGTGCAACTAATTAAATCTCTGCAGAAAATCTAAAACGTAGCGGGGGGGTTGGGGGGGCGGCAGCCCCCCCCATGATGTCGGAAAAACGCCACTTGCCGAAGAGGAACTGGGAATGCAGAGGATGCGAAAAGCCAAAAAGCCACCAAAAGCCGCATAAACCAGCAAAAAACCGAAAAGCCTAGAAGCCCAGAAGCCGAGAAGCCAAGCAGCCGAAAAGCCAAGAAGCCAAGAAGCCAAGAAGCCAAGAAGCCAAGAAGCCAAGAAGCCGAGAAGCCGAGAAGTCGAAAAGCCAAGAAGCCAAGAAGCCAAGAAGCCAAGAAGCCAAGAAGCCCAGAAGCCCAGAAGCCGAGAAGCCGAGAAGCCAAGAAGCCAAGAAGCCAAGAAGCCAAGAAGCCGAGAAGCCGAGAAGCCAAGAAGCCAAGAAGCCAAAAGCGAAAAAAAAAAAAGAAAAAAAAAGAAAAAAAAAATCCTAAAATAAATACCCCTCCCTGTTTTTTTGAGGCTGCGCTTGTCAGGTTGGTTTCAAGGGAAATCAAAAGGAGAATAACCTGCTTGTTGGTGGGAGGGTTCTAAGAGGGGTTCAACTTGCTCTTCCCTTGCAAAAGGTTCTTCAATGGGCGTTCTGCATCTTCTCCTCGATTCAACGTCTGCCGCTCCAAGCCATAAACACCTCAAAACTTGGTGGCAGAATGAAAGGCAACTCTGCCGGTTCAGGGGCCTTCGTTCAAGTCCTGTCACCAATCAAAGAACGTGCTTCCCCACTTCTGCCTTCAAGCCAGAGCCAGCCGTTCCTTCTTGTTTCCCTCTGGGTCAATGGAAGTTGCCTGTTCTCACATAGCCTGCCTCAGAACTCCTAAGTTATCATTTAACACTCCTTCTCCCTTTGGATCGGCGCGTTGACACCTTTCAGTGCTCCGAAAGCGGCCACAGCCACCTTTATGAGGACATCCCTCACTTTCAAGGGAAGAACCCAAGTCATCCGGTGGATACATCCGGTGACATGCCACGACTTGACAAACGCCCGCAAGCCAAATCGCCGGAAAGCCTCCCAGGGGTTCGTAGCCGTCCACGCCAGGATGTAGGACAGGTTCTCCGCCCTGGACAACGCATCCGCCAGGTGGTGCAAAGGTGATCCTGCCTCGCCGCGCGCACGGACGTGGTGTCTGTTACCCCTATGAGGAAACGGCACATGTGAGCTGTATGTCTGAGGAAATCCGAGAGGAAGTTACAAGCTTGAATCAGAAATAGCCATTGAGGCCAGATCCTTGAGCTATGTCTCTGACTCTTTTGTTTCTCTGCTTAACAAGCTAACGAGCAAGACACACACACACACACAACACACACACACAACACAACACAACACAACACAACACAACACACAACACACAACACACAACACAACACAACACACAGACACACAGACACACAACACACACACACACAGACACACACCACACACACACACACACACACACACAAAAAGACTCCCAAACCTCCACCAAGTTGGACCAGCGATCCAAATGGAGCTAAGGGCCGACCCAACCGACACCACCCGAAGCAGGCCCGAGCAGGCCCAAGCCGCCGCCTTGGTGTGCAGCAAGTCCAGCAAGTAGAGATCCGGGCGGCCCATGTTGTCCCTGAAGCGCTTGATGATCACAGCGCCCCAGCCCCGCATGCCGGTGCACATGATCTTCTTGACCTTCACCAGCTTCACCTGAAACCAAACGAGCGGCTTTTCACAAGCCGAGCAGACTTGGGTCTCTAGTAACACATGGTTGTACAGATTGTATGAGCCTTACAATAATCCCAATTTGTCCAGGTAGAACCACCTACTAATATTGTCAATTCAGATTCAAAAAATGGAAAGAAAAGTGGGGGCTTCG